TGGATTGCTCATGGCTTTTCGCTTGATAATTAAATAATTTTAATAAATTTTAATAATTTTTTAATATTTAATTTGCTAACATTGCTCAAGGGTGTTCCAATGTACCTATGAGGGATGTGGTTGCTTCAGTGTGTGATTTTATATTATGAGGACTGAATTTTTGGTTAAGATGATTGTTTATTAAACGTTGCTATTTGTTGTTCTATTATCTCATAAAACACTATAGATTTCAACAATTGTTTTGTATTGTAAAAATTATTTAAATAAACGCAGGCATTACAGAATATAGTACTTTTGAGGTTTTGACTGTTTTTTAATTTTGCCTATAAAAAATTATTCTATGTTATCATTAAATCATCAAAACGTAATCAGGTTCAAAATGGTAGATTTACTTACAGGTTACTGTAAACTTGGGAACCATGCTAGTAAATTAGGTCTCCTTTTCAATCAAACCTGTTGCAGCTGTGGGGAAGATGATGAGTTTTTCTGTGTTTCAATTCCCCTATATACTATAACACAATGGGTCAATAAGCCAAAGTGGATCCACAGGGGATCGCTGTTATAACGTAACCTAATCATCAAAATGAAGTCACGTCAATTAAACAGATGAGATCAATCATCAATATATTAAATAAAAGGGTTCCATAATCTACGAAATTAGTATTAACTTATCAGCAGGATTCAAGCATTCAGTAAGGAAGAATTATACACTTTTAAAATTAATAATTTTTATAATGATAAGAAAAAGGACTTCCACAGTAAGTAGCTGTATTTTGGTTATAATTGCACAGTTTTTTGTTGATCTACTCCTCACTGATCTTTTTTTTTTTAATGGAACATTATTTTTATCTTTTTGCCTAATGGAACAGCTTTATCTGGAAACAATCTTTTTGAATATTCTCATGTTAGATATATATATCACATTACTAAATAACTCTCCGGTCTGACATTTATTTTTTAAAATGGCAACACTGTTAGTGAACCCTTAGTAATTATAGAAAGTAGTATTATTTAAACGATACGTTCTTAAATTTAATCACTTTCTGATAATTAGTTACAATGGAAAGAATTTCATGTTGATTTCACGTGGTGTTGATTAAACATTGTATCGTGACGAAGAAAAGGATTGTTAAACCCAAATACTAGTTTTATAAACGTTCTGGAAACTCTGTTCCATGGAAATATTATTATTTTGTATGTCGAATTTTAACGCGGTCTCACAAAGACTAATGCTACTGAACGCTATGACTAACCAATATCGGCAGCTGTTCTGAAAAACAAAAAGAGAAGATGAACTAGTCTCGAAAGTTGCTTAAAGTAAGGTTTGAAATTGTGTGAGATAGTTGATACCTTAAAGATTTTGAGAAGTTAGTGTATTTATAATTTTATATGTAAATTATAGCTTCCGTAACTTGTTTTTGAGGTAAGTGCCACGGCCTTAGGTCTCTTTTGAGGTCACTGTAGGTAAGAGTTAGAGTAATATCATCTGATCATTTTTTTACCATATGAACATTATTTAAGTATTTTCAATGTTGTTTGTTGATTGACTTATTGATTATACAATTTTATATCAAATAGACTTGTATTAATAGTATCTTATATTTAAAGACGAGCTACGTTTAATGGTAGTCAGTTACTTGTTTTAGAGTCATTGGTCAAGATATTAGTTAAAGGGTGATATACTTTTTTATACATATAAATATAACTGATGTAGGGTATACTAGATTTGATTCTCAGCAAAATCACATAAGAATTATTATGTTATTTACAGCATTTTGATTCCTTCAATCCTATTCTTTTCAGGGCTAAATGAAAGCAGATAAACTGTTTTAATATAATTTTTTTTGTTTCTGCTATACCTACATATTCTTTAAGTGCCCCTGTTCGTCACTTCGATCGTATGTACATAGTGCTCGATCATATAGTGCTATATATGTACCACTTGCCTGATTATTTCGCGGGTTACATGATTTATATTTGATGAATACTGTTTTTAAGAAAGTAGATTTTCTGACTTAAAGAGTTGTTTCGGATATAGTTTAATATAAATCATCAGTGGGTTTTGAAAATATCTATTGTTTTAAATAAATGAAATAATAATCGGCATAAATAAATAATCTGCATATAATTTTGGGGTTCAAGTGGCAGGAATTGAACCCACAAAGCCAACATATTCTATTTTATTATAAATATTATATTATTTTACAAATATATTTATATTCATATTTGTAGGGCGTTTCCAACATATTGGCTATAAATGCAGAATATGAATCCCTTGTTAAAAACACAAAAAGAATAGTACAGGAGAGAGGGGAAGATGTAACATTTTCAATATTTACCGAGATGTAGGGTTTTACAGGGTATCTCCATCCGTAGGTTCATTATATATATTTTTATATTACATATATCTGAATTTGTAATAGAAGTATGTTTGATTTGAAAATTTCTGTACATAATCTCTGTATAAACACTTCCAGTGTTAAAATCTGTTTACTCTTATCCTATCCTATCATTGATATAAGGAACTACTTCTTCTTCAATGAAGAACTCAAAAAACAATTTGAATTCTACAGATTATATGGGCCTAGAATGCTTATAACAAATATATAGTCGAGTCTGGCTGCTAAAGAACAAAAATTTTATCTGGTTATTTAGAAAATATTTGGAGTTTTGTATAAAAAAATTTTTCAACTTAATAATTAATAATACATGTTTTATTTATCTTCAAGTTTCCATTTTGTTTTTACGTTTAATAATGGATTAAATTTTATATATAATTTTTATAATTAGTATTTAACATATATTTATTTTTATGCTATGCATTTAGATTTCACTAAAGTTTATAATATTTCATAAATTAAACTTAATTTAAAATATTTTTTCTTTTTCTCTTTTCACTAATAAATTTTTAATTTTTATAATAATTTTTTGTTTTATTTTTTTTTTTTTGCTAATCTTAAATAATTTCAGTTGGCTTATTTAATTTATTTTTGACGCTTTCTATGCTAAATTTAAAAAAAAAATTATGTATATGAAAAAATTTATTTTGTTTTAAAGACTAACGAATTTTGATTTAAACTTAAAATTACAATTGATTTTTACATAGCAATTAATCTCATCTCAATTTTAACCTAAAGGTTTCATCTTAATTCACAATTATTTTGAATAAATTGCACCGATCGTTGTTATAAAAATTCAAAAAAAATTAAACAAAAATTAGAAATAAAATATAAAAACTTTTATTTATTACATTTAAAATATTTAACCTAGTTTTATATTTAATATATATATTTATTTATATGTTTATTTATTATTTATTTATTATTTATTTATGAAATTCTACTAAATTAACAAATATTTTCTTCTTATTCGACTTTACTTTGTGTCCTTTTTTATTGTTGAGAATATTGGAAGCAGTTTGTCAGATGGAATGAATGGTTCATTCGATGCTTCATCAGAGTTTCACTATCGGGAACTCCAGAGACTGACAGTTGTCAGCTGTGAATGAAAGCTACTCTAACAAACTGGCAAGAATCTGTGGATTTTTGAGTTCAATTTTTATTTGTATGAGTTCTATAGATTTATGATTGAGTTAAAATTATAAGTTGTATTTACTATTTAAGTATTATATAGTAAAAAAAAGTATAGGAGTTGTTTTAATAAATTTTGTAATAAATATTATTAATCAAATCGCAATACTCTGCTCCTGGAGTATATAGACATAGTGAATAGTTTTTGAAGCGAATTAATTTTAAATTGAAATCTTTGATATTGCAATATCTATATTGCCAATTCATTGATACAGAGGCTGGAAGTCGGCTTTTAAACCAAACTAATGCTTCAAAGTATAAAATCAATATACCGAACTGTTTCCAAAATTTTTGTCGTTTACAAGTCTGATAGAAACATTATCGAAAAGCCGTAAAATATGAAGTTTAAGAACTCCATTTAATATTGACGATTTATATTCATTACGTTTTATATATAAATGTATAAAATTAACTACTGCTTTTTGGATTGAGAAGAAGTGAGGTTGTAGAACAATTTGTACAATGGAAGTTGCTTTAACTTAACTTCAACCATTAATTTTTACAAAAGTACACATAGTCAGTCAAATGTCATAGCTTAACCAGTACCAGGCTTGAATTTTTGGGAACGTTATCCGTTAATTCACTCAACGATATTTTTAACATTGGTATTGGGCAGATACTGGCATTTATTAATGCGTACGACTGGTTCTAACATGCCCAAGAATCTATTCACAAACAGAATGTGGAATCAAAATAGCTTTATTAGCTTGTTGAGAAAGATTTGTTATTTTTTCCACTTAACCTACCTACCTAAATATGCAGGCCTTATATACATATGATTCCAACAGCCATTATATATAACAGTTGTAATAGAGATTTCAGTATATTTTTTTAATATAATGTATTATTTATCTATGTATTGTCCTCTATGGAAAATATTACAGTACTGTATTTGGCATATAGCTGGTAAAAGCTCGCTCATAATTTAATTGATGTTCGTTCACAAAGCGTAGAGAATTTAAGGGTTGTCTGCATAAAAACGATTCTATGTCTAGTACCTAGTAACCAATAATATCCTATTAGATAATTATGTGGCTACAGCAATCAGAATGGGCCTTATTCTTAAAAAAAGGGACGGGACTATTAGCACAACAATAACATATAATGAATTTTTGTGGATACAAGGTTTCTTTAATAATTATTTATGGATTACTTCTATTCAGATACGACAACTATGTTTATTGACATATCCATCAACGAAAAAATGAATTTCATCATTTTCAAAAAAATTCCATTCAAAGTAAGTTATATAAGTACCACCTTGATCACCTTGAAAAGAAATCTGTAGTTAATGATCTTAAATTATTAAAATCTGAAAAATCAGATGATAGGGTTAAATAAATGAATAACTGGCCTAAATACTTTGAGTATTTTTAACATATTAGAAACTGCCCGAAGAAATAAATTTACTTGTTTTCATAAAATAGATCAATAAATAAATATATTTTTAAATTTTATATATAATCAATACATGAACTATATTCGTTTTCTCTCTTTCTCACACCTCAGGCAAACATGAGTCATAATTTTAATAAATATTTCCTCAATTCCTCAAAGATATTTAAATGAGTTTAGAATTGATTAGTTAAATCAATTTTTCTCAGGGGTGAAGAAACATACTTTTGGGACTGGGAAAGTCCCAGTAACTTTTGGGAAAGTTAAATGGAAGCGACTATGTTCCAATGGTTTGATTAGAGATTTAGGAAAGGACAATTTCTTTCTAATATATATAAAATAATTAGTTATTATATTTAAGTTTAGAAATTAAAAAATTATTAAAACCTCTCCTTTACATCTTGTGTATTTTAACTGAACCATAATTCGCGATTCACCCGACTTAATTTTAATTTTATTTTTATATTCAATATTTTCTGAAAAATATTTCATATTTTTATTTAAATTCTAATTCGTCATGGACAAGTTGAGTTCTTCACTATCGATGGATGGTGGTCAAAATATAACAGTGAGTGGACGTCGAAAATCACCGCCAGCGCCGGCGCCACCACCTCCGGCACCACCGCCCAGAGCACTGTTTGCAACACCGCCGCCAAGACCCAATGCAGCGGCACTGCTTACCTGACCGTACTGCGTGTATTGCGAGTAATCGAGTTGCGTATCATTCGGCGAATGCTGCAAGTGTGACTTTGAATCGGAAACACTGTTGCCACCACTACCTCCACCGGGACCACCACCGCTATCCAAATGTGGTGTATTATCGCGCTCATCCAAGTTATTATTTGCTGTTGTGTGGTTGTTGTTGTTGTGTGCACTGGCAATGCTGAGACCGTTTAGCAAATGTTGCTGCTGTTGCTGATGAGCCACGGCGGCAGCTGCAGCAGATGTGCCATGCTGTTGAGCCCCGCCATATATTTTTGATATATCGAATGCATAATTAGCTCGGTCCTGGTACATTTTTGAATCGAAGTAGGCCTTGGTGAGAACACTGGGATCTAAATAGGCGCTATAAGCAGCACTGGCCTGTGCAGCCTTCGATGATTCGTACAAAGAGCCTGCAGTAGCTGCGCTGCTTAGGTACGAGCTGCGATCGAGCGCAAATTTTGGAACGTCCATTTGTCCTGATAAGGAGGTCTGAAAAGAGTAATGTAATATAAAATCTTTATTATCGTTTTATAAATAATTAAATATATGAAAAGTATGGTATTTTCTTTTTTACTATTGAGTGGGTTTGCGTGTCTATTACTTGTGTGGCTTGCGGTTTTGTTGGTAATTAAAATATTGTCACCATTGACGACGTTGGCATAAACAAAAGCTTAACAGAATTGTAAAGCCAATAAAGTGTTGCCAGACTGTGTCGAAATTCCATTGATTTGGTCACAATTGAAAAGAAAGTGGTAAGGAGGTAGACGTATGGCAACTCGCACAAGCGATTTGTTAATGCTTTCGTTTTGTTTATTGCTTTTTTTGTTACCTTAACGACTTCATAAATTAATGTAAGCTTCCCCCACCAACTCACCAGCCCCCCAACCCAGCAAACCACTAAACCATCAATCTAGCAAACAACCACTATTCACCACCCAACATAAGCCAGCCACTAAGACATGTTGTTTTATTTGCTAGTATCAAGAAATAAAACAAATCCTTCTCTGAGTATATGTGTGTGTGTGTGAGTGTGTGTGTCAGTGTACTGTAAGCACTTTGCTTGTTCTTCTTCTTCTATTTCTTTTCTTTTACTTTGATTTGCCATTGAGGGCAAACGTTTTCTGAGGCATTCATTGTTGCGCATTTAATGATGAGGTTGGCAACTGTGTTTACGGCCTAACAGAATTAAAATGCGTTGCCAACTGTTGTTTTGTCTGTCCGTTTGTGTGTTTGTGGTCGTTTGTGTGTCGCTTAGAGTGACTAAAGTGTGAAAAGATGAGTAGTACTGAACTGTGGAGTCTGCAGGCTGCGCTGCCGCTTGTTAACTGTTTCGATGTGTTTTGTTCTATTCTTGCTTTGATTGCGAGTTGGCTTTGCTAACAACTTATTAAAAGCCATGACTTTTGTTTGGCATTGTGCGTCCAGGCATGTGTGGACTTTTAATGGATACCTGCGCTTCTCGAGAGCGCAAGGCGTAAGGAATGTTTTCATTTAGTTACGCACAGTCAGATTTCCTTTTGACGTTGAAGATCATTGAAGATGCTGCGAGGGCGTTAGTTATTGTTCCTTCAGGTAATTATAGGCTAAGCGTGTGTAGCAAGTGTGGATGATTATATATGCTGAAGTCTGTTTGTTAAACTAAGCCCCCTTTTTATGATAATTGAATTGCTTACTTTGTGTATGTTTTCACCAGTTTGCGAATAATATTGAATAAATTGAAATTTGTAAATAATGAATTTATGTTAAGAGCAAAAAGACGTCGAGAAATGAGAAAAAAAAACTATTATGTTATGTTTGTTAGTTATATGTTAAGACCAATTGATATTAACAAATCTGAGAGCATTCTAAAGTAAGTAAGTTTTATTTGTATAATATTTATAATTGCTTGGTTATTATTATTTTTTTTCAAATATTTTTATATATGTATGGTCAGCCAAAAATTCAATTAATTAAAATAATATTAAAAAGAATTTGTTGTAGTTCACTACTTTTCGAAAAAATTTTGTGATCACCAAAAAAAGTTTTTCTAGTTTTGAATAGTCTTCCCTGATGAGGCTTATTTTTCAGTTAATCGATAATTCAACGATTAATATTGTTACATTACACAGTGCGTCTTCAGAAGTAACTGTCCCAAGACAATTGCATCCAACCGACTATATGGTGTGGCATTTTAGCTACTGTTATGATAATCCCGTACTTTTTTAGGAATATCGGATGTCGAAGATTTGGCACAAATTGTTATATCTGATGGCTACAGTCATATGATGTTTGTGAAGATATAAGGTCTCAACAGGACTGTACCACAAAGCAAACAAAACGCACTTTTTGGCTTTGTACTTTTTTAGGAATATCGGAGGACCAAGATTTGAAACATATCGTTATAACTGATGGCTATAGTCATATGATGGTATTTTGTTTTGGTGCGAAACAGACGATATAGTTGTGGAAGATATAAGGTCTTAACATAACTGCGTCACAAAGCAAACAAAATGCACTTTTCAGATTTTTCCAAACCAGAAATTTTGTGACATATAATTTCACGTTTGCATAAAATTTGGATTCGTTTTTGGGGGGTTAGACCAAGGATTGCATTTTTCGCTTAGTGGAAAAGCAAACAAATAAAATTGTTATATCTAAGGCAGTGCTTATTCACTAGTAACTCTCGCAAGAAAGTTGTAGCAAAGCTATTGCTATGTGTCGACAAGTCATCGAAAATTACCTCAAAGTTCATTTAGGAACGTATTTATTATTATTGTAAGACGTCCATTGGAAGATAATTGAATGATATGTTTCACATCTAATGGAGATTCGAAAAATGTATATTGGAATAAAAATTTGTACAAAATCTCAATCGAAATTATAATTTATTTACGTTTACTTTTGGAACTTTTGAAGAATGGACAACTTTGTAGAAACAAAAAAAAATTTATTGGATGTCGTGCCAGGTACAGTGGGATACATTTTTTTCTTTTAATTGGGATGTATTTTAAGTCTTGAGGAATAATTCATTCCTTCACTTAGGTACACAAGAAAATACACCGTTTTAAATCTTTGTGTTTCAAAACCACACAAAGATCTTCAAATAAAATGACAATTTTATTGAAATGTCTATCTAAGTTGCTTCTTAGATAGATATTAAGATAGACTTAATGTCTAATATTAAGTATTTTATTATATTTCGTCCGATATTCCTAGACAGGTATTTGTTTATTGCTTCACAATACTAATTTATTTACTTATGATATTTAGCTATCCGTTATCGGGATTCTATCTAATGCACCACCCTCTCCAGTCTTTTATGTTGTATGCGCACCATTTCCAGTGCGATTAGTGCTCATTTAGATGTGAAAAGTTTTTATGTAGAAATATTTTCTTTTATTATAATATTATGGTCTATTCACATGAACCGAGAATTCTTCCCCTACAAAATATGTTGATTAAGTAAATACTTTAAAATAATATAAAAAAAAAATAAAAAAAATCACTACTGTTCGAAAAAGCCTCTTTGTAAATACTTTTGTTTATAAATTTATATTGGGTTTAAACCGATTTAAAAAAGTGAGCTTCAGAAAGAGTGCTTAATTTTTCTTTTTTATTTTCATTCGATACTACGTAATACTTTTAAAATTTCAGGTTTTATACTTCAATATTATTTTCTTTTATAGTTATATCACTGATCGTATAAGCTATTGTTTCGGGAATGGTTCTACGTGTTATTCTTTCTAAACTATGTGGTTTTTCAGGTAATTTTACCAATGAGACTGCTAAGTCTACTTTTGTTAAATCTGCCAGGTGAGCAAAGAAATAGTTTATTAGACATGACTTCGTCAGTAGACCTAGATATTGATACATGCGGTGGTTGATCGATATATAAAAACATTGTGTATCTTTGTATTAGATAAATAAATGAAACAACAACTGTAATAACCACGCTACATATCATTCCTATAATGTTCCGTAGTATATTCCTAAAGTGGATGACATCTATATACAAAGTATACATGAATATACATGATTGAATACTTTTTTTCTTCAGGTGACATTTCACAGTTATAAAATAAGCTCATACTTCTTAACGTTAATACCAATATGAGTACTTATAAATTTGATTTCCTGTCTTCTAAAAATTTCATCTACCTTTTATCTATCCTAACAAATGATTATAAAGAAGATTTTGAATAGGAAAAAGAAAATCTATTAATACAAATTTGCTATTTATAATGTATTCGATCTGTTATTTGCTTATTAAACAAAAAGTATAACATATGAGAATAGATGGCTGACAATTTTAAGGTATTGCATCCCCATAGATATTATTACTTTTAGTAAAAACTTTTTCAAAATCGTTGAGAATACAATTTACTTATTTGCTTTGGTAGTTTTTACAGCTACTAATAAAAAACTAAACAAATTGGTTAAAATTTCGACAGAAATGGGAAAGTATTGAAGAAGCCCTTTTATTTTTCGCAATCACCTATTTTTTGAAACTAAACTACAATACCATTAACTCTTGTATTGTAAATTAACTTTAATGCAATAAATGTACTAATTCAGTGGTTACTTCTATTCTAATATTGTGTTTTTTATGAGTCGTATTAACCCACATAAAAGTTTAACCCGATCCTTCCTTTCAGAAAAAAAAGAGTTCATCAGACAGTGACACAAATCATATTAATTAATAGCCCTTGGCAATTTTTCACCTACTGCGGAATAAAGGACCGATGCGATGTTCGAACTTCAAGCCATAAAGTCTTATACAAATATTTACAGTATTTACAAAATTCAGTATGTAATTCCCAATTGGTTTCAGATTATATTAAATTGTAATTTTAAACGATTAAAATCCTTTGCCACAAGCAGTTTTGTTTATATTTCCGAGGCTATAATAAGGACGATGATGATGTGTTAACAATTTAATTATAGCCTGTGAATTATTTTAAATTCTGAACAGCCCTTTTTCATTCTTTCCATAAATCCATGAATTCACGAATTCTCGAATTCATGAATGGTAATGCATTTCCGTTTGGACAGAACCACCCCTCATACCGCTGAATTCATAACGACACGAAGTCGAGCAGACAGCAGGGGCAAATGAAATGATTAAGCGTAAAATGTATCTCAAATCAGAACAGATTTTTTCTTGGCACATTCAGAACATTGAGAACATTTAAACAAATACGATTACATTGCATTAAAAATTTGTTTGTTTTTGTTTGTGTTCGGAAACCTGCTCGACTTATTTGTTTTTCTACTTGAATGGTTAATTGTGGGTACAGGATGCCATTGTAACGACTCAATTCGGTATTCTTCCTCTATTATTTTCCATTCAAATTCATTTTAGGAATTCTGATAAGTGTTCAGTTTCATCATGCGTAATTTAACACGCCTGCGGAACATTGCCTTCGTCCTGCATCCTTCGCCATTGGTAACAGTTGCGATATTCAAATAAAAAAATTAAACAATTTCTATTTGCAAATACTTGTATGTTTAAACAATCCTGAGCCTGTAGAGGATTGAAAGCGAATCTTTAGAATTTTGTTGGATTTGATTATTCGAAACTAAACAGGGAAGAGTTAAGTGCATACTTCCATATAACAAACCATTCAATGTGTGACAATATTAAAGCGGAATATAAATAAACATTTTTGATAAAAGAACCATTCAAGGAGTTTAAGCGACAAAAGGCATGGGAGTAGATAGAGGAATAAAATATGTATTGGAAATATTATAATAAATTTTAAAACTTAATTTGATCTATTTTCATTATGCATTCTTAAATTTATTTTATCAACGTTTCGAAGTTATTTTTGTATCTTCAAGGCGGATACTTTTTATCACGGCTCTCGACCTAGTGTACAAGAATTGCAATGAAGCGGGTATTCTCTGGAAGATGATCTAGCCTACGCTGATGATGTGCCTCTATTTAGCAACACATATAATGAGATGCAAGAGAAACTTATGACCGTATCTAGTAATTTTGCAAAAATCGGCCTGCAAATTAACACCGCAAAGACTAAATATATGCGTCTGAACTCACGTAACAGCAATCAGTTTAAAATATACGGGGAGCCCATAGAAGACGTTGAAGGATTTGAGTATTTTGGAAATACACTAACAATTTAAGGCGAAACAGATGAAGATATAAAGAAAAGAATAGCGAAGGCTACTGGTACCCTCTCCGAGTATTTCAAATAAAACAATTTCACGAAAAACCAAAATTCAAATATTTAATTCCCGCGTCAAGGCAGTACTAATCTACGGTAGCGTTATATAACACTTAAGACAAGAAGCGATTCGTAAACTACAAACATTTGTAAATAGATGTTTATGATGTATACTCGGAATTTGGTGACCCCGTACGATAACTAAGTGGTAAATATCTAAACAAATTCCTATTGAGAAAGAAATAGTGCGCAGAAAATACAAGTGGATTGGGCATACCCTTTGGAAGGACGCAAACGCAATAGTACATATAGCTTTACAATGAAACCCGCAAGGTGCATGAAACAGTGGATACTTCTAAATAAACTATAATTGAGAAAATTCAAACTAGATTTTAAAGAATAAAAGAATAATTATTGCTATTTTACTTTTATTCAATAATAAAAGACTTTAAGTAAAAGTCATGATATTAGCTACAGAACTACTTAATTACCGAATAATTTTGAATATATGTGAAATATATTTTCTATGCTACAAAGAATAAGAGTTACTCGAAACTCTACTCAATTCTAAGAGTATTCAAAAGTGTTCTCATGGAGGTCTATGTTTCAAAGCTATGCGTCAGAGAGTTTTTACATGCACCGATAAACATATCTTTTCAGATAATGAAGTAGGTTGAAAGTTCTTACTGGTAATTTTAGTATAGTTTAAACCCCATCTAGAAATAAATTTATATTTTTACCATTGATAGCAAGTCATACCGGATAAAAAAGAAGACTGGTATGCCAAAAAAGACAGAGGTAGTCCCTTCATAGGTCGTAAAGAATTCTGCTGAGTTAACAATAGTTTCAATTGCAATTTGATTACAAACCGCCTTACTGATAGATCTTTCTTAAGATGGTAGTATAATATGAAGTCAAACCACAACGGAAGTAATTCTCCAAGAGGTACCGACAAGAGGTCAGTCAATCCTCTTGCTTCGGCAGCCAGGACGTCGAATTTGAAGCTGCTAATTTCACGTTATAATGATAGCCTGATGAATGTAACCAATCACACAACATATACTGTTCCAAATTTTACAGTAAATAATGGAACTTAATTATTATTTATTGGGATACGAGCGCTCCTAAAATCGTTTTCATTCGTCAATAGCAAGAATCCTAATTTACAGTTGTCATTAGGATTATTGATGTATGTGGTGTTAAAAAATGTGCATAAATGACAAAAATGTTGTTATATCAACTCAGGTTCCTCCGACTAAAAAAGCCAATTTCTTTTATTGACATAATATTATCAGGGAATGCATATCACTCGCATTCCCTGGATATCTCTTAATCCTTTGAAGACATCTTCAAAGAGTACTTAATAATACGAGAGCACATTATTGTTGAACTTCGGGGAATAGCAGGTGCTGAGCAATTTGGTTATGATATGCATTAAATTATGCAACTGTCGTTGGAAGTGCAACGGTGTGTCGTGTCAGATACATTTTTAGTGCACACGTCATAATTTAAACGAGAATGTCAACAATTAAAGGCACTTGTCATGCTGCCATGCACCCAAAGGTGTTGAGGAATTCTTGTTAGCCATTAAATTTCCAGTTACGGCAAAATTAAGTGCTAGTTTATGTGCAATTTGTGTATTTGTTTTCAAAATAATGCTCGTATCCTTTCATATCCTTGTACAAAATGATAATTGGAAAATTATAACATTGGGAAAGTTGTTGGTGTTGTTATAACGTTTAGAAGCGTCAGCACCAAGCGCAAAGATGACTTGCAAAAAAGGACAAAAATGTTGTGAACTTAACAATGTATGAGTATAAAAAATCGACGAACTGGAGGATAGAAGAGCAGACCCAACAACTGAGAGGCGTACAAATGCGATGGCCGTTTATGATAACCGTACGTTTCATCATTTCGCCTTGCATGCGCATTTCTACTTAAGCGTTTTACCAGTTTACACGGTTTGTATGTAGGCGGTAACTGAAGGAGTTCGTAATTATGTTATTACACAAATAATCATAATAATATAAAATTGCAGGTGTTGAGTGTAAAACGAAAAAGGTTAAAGGTGCGCTCACACCAACCAACTTTTTTAACGTTTTTTCAATGAATTTGAAAAAAAAAATTTCATGCTTTTTATATGATTGATTTAATTGGTTTCGAAAGTAAATATTGGACTGTCCGTCTGTCTTTGTGTCTTTGTGTCTTTCTGTTTGGCATATACAAAATTGCTACTGTGCACCATCTTCTATGTTAAGTGCTTAACTGTCAGTTTGACAGTTGCATTGGAACGTTTTCATCGCGGCAACTGCGATCGCCGCAAAGCAATTAAATTGAGCATCTTTCAGATCTTCGCAGCGCACAAAGGCACTTGACTTAATTGAGAACTGCTTAAATGCAATAAATGCATCTCTTAGTTGTAATAATTTTCTTCAATAATTTCTCATATTTCCACAACTCACCTGTGACGTTGGTGCATTTGTCTGGGTTAGATGGCTGCCCAAGTGATAAGCGGCTGCTGGTCCCGGCGCAAAATAACCTGGTGTTATACCTGTAATATACAAAGCAGAAGAATTTTAAATGGTATTTTCGTTGTTTGCTGTAATTGGTACTAAAAATAACTAACGATTATTCTTTTCTACAGCCTCAGTTTTTTATCTCATACGCAACACAATAAGTATTTCATTTTTTTAAGCTGCTGGAAGATACGAAAAATGAAGCATAAAAGGCTTAAGTTGCTGACTTCATCTAATTGCTGTGATTCAGCTCTTTTCTGACACTTGCCATAATGCTTCGGGTTTACTTTTCTAAATTTAATTATATTGTTCGAAATAAAGGCAGTAGTCGAAATTTTAATTAAATAGTTTTTCCTACTGATTTTAATGTTCGGTTGCCTTATAAACACAGCATTTTCAAAGCTGTAATTACAAGCGCCATCCTAATAATTTTGTTCATCTTTTGTTACCTCAAGACACAATAAACTATTTTTATATTTTGAATTTCACAAAAGTAGTTTTTGTTTGCCTATTGCCACCTCATTTGCTACTATTTTAAGTACGAAAATATATAGATATTTGTATAAAATTAATGAAATAAATACACAAAGCTTTCTTATTTTTACTTCTTTATTGATGTAAAAAATACTTTGATTCAATAGAATAAAATAATATGAAGTATCTTTGTTATTAACTAGATGAGAGCTACTAGAGGTTTATCTATCTTAAGGTTCCACGAGTGAAAGCAAAGGAAATGCAGTTGTAATTGAGATTTTGATCAAATTCCTACCTTTCGGAGATTTTGAATTAATGGCAAAGAATTTTTCAAATCATCAAGTTTTTAAGTTTTTTGCCTTTAGTTGTAAAATATATTATTCAAATATTCTTATTATATTTAACATTATGGGATATCTGATAATACGTATAGTAGGACCTGCAATTATAAACTATGGATATCATTTTGACGGTTTATACATTAATATAATAATAATAATGTGAGATAACTATAGATACAGATTTTAAAGCAATCAGATGTCGATAAGACTGTGAAAATTCTAATAAGGAAAATAATTATCAGCTCACTGTAGTGATTGCATATATAATTAGGAGAGTACTGGATCTTTTTGAAGAAAATTTAGACACATAGTTAATATATATTAAATATGTTATTGAAATGGATGTTCAATTAGATATTTCAAGGCTCGAGAGTTTGAACTTTGTTCGCATAAACTTAATCGTTTTCATAATCGCATAGAAATGGTCCAGAAGAGAATATTCCACAAATTTTTGTTGACTGATACCAAAACGCCTACCATTACTAAGTTATTATTGAAACGTATATATATTATATATATGAAAAATTTCATTGGCAACAAATTCTGAATAAAATGTGTTATCTAATTTTTGGCATGTTTTTGTGTAAAATCACATTGGGTCTATATTGGCTTGTCACTTATTTTTCAAAACCAATATTTTGTCGACGCAAAAAGAATATATACAGATATTCCGTTTTGTTACTACAAATCTTAATTACTAGTCATATAAACGACGGATTCTTGAACGTTGCTTATCGTTATCATGTTTATGAACCCATATTGAAAAGTACTTTTGGAGAGAATTATGAACCCATATTGAAAAGTACTTTTGGTGAGAACATTAACCAATTGATTAAGAGCATAAATATTCTAATTTATTTCTAATTAAAAATGGATATATCTGATAATCGATGTGGTAGATTTTAGCAATTCTAAGATTAGCGCATTGGTGGGTACCAAAACTGAAATGTAATATGGTAAGAAATAATTTTCAAGAGTTTATAGAGTTCTCTATTATGTTTTCAGCTGTCGATATAGCAAGATAGATAATAAGTATTCTAGGGGCTATGCACCAAACTAGAAGGCAATAGGTGGAAGGAATTACCAAACAATATTAAAAATTTTTATTTTTATTATTTTTTGTTCTTTTAAATTTAATAATAATATTTTTATATTAATGTATGTGTTAACACATACATAACAAGTGCTAGTTCTCCATATTACCTTAATATAAATTTATTATCAAAAGTTTTGCTCTAGTCGCTAAAAGCTATTAAAGACGTTTAGATATGTACGCTCTACTTCTTTATTTGTGCATTAATTATTTGGATTAATTAGAAATAAATTATGGGGTAAGCATTTTAATTTTGATAAGAAACTTGTTTTTTCTATGGAAGGAACTTCATTAACAACTAAAGTGATTCTATAACTCAGATAGACTATTACTTCACTAAAATCTCAAATCTTATAAGAATCTTACTAAATTTGAGAATCCTCCATTTCTTATACAAAATTAAATAAAACCCTTATTAATTACAATAAAAAATAGCATAAAGTAATCTATTTGTATTGGCTAGAAATCTGTCCTTTTACTTTTAATCCACCCAATTTGGAACATAAATCATACCCGAACTCCAAACACGAGCCCAAACTTAATGTAAAAGTGCTTATGTAGCGAAATATAATTTACAAAAAAGCATAAAATTACCACAGAACTTCAATACTAATTTCTATTTTATGTGCTCCATGGTTATACACAATATTTGGTCCTCTTTGTTGAACTAGTGAATCCTTTGTTGCGAAATGAGTAATGCTAATTTAAAACCTCACTCCAGAGCTAGTCGTTAATGTAAAGACGTTAGATGCGTTGTTTAGTGAGTTTTTCTTTCAAACAAGCATTCGTATATCCTTTATGACTGCCTGCAAGGATATTAGCCCGCTAAGCACCAAGTCGAGTCTGTTCTAACAATAGTTGATGACTTCACAGTTTAACATATGCTTTTTTACATTATGTTGAATTAAGTAATTTTTTAGGGCTTTCGGGTGCTGCCAATGGGTGAAGTGGGCGAAATCACTATAACAAACTAAACGAGTCTATGACTGTCATAACAGAACTATGTGTACTTTAGGGTGTTTCAGTACTCAAATGTTCGTGTCATGCAGGAATTTATCTTTTGACAAATAATAAACTTCCTGTTTCATATTCATGTGAATGGCTTTATGTTTGCTCATAAATTAGGGTTTCCTACAATGGCTTGAAACGTACGGGCACGATTATGAGTACGAGTATATAGTATGTATGGGAATATATGTTAGAGAATTATAGTTTTAATTTTAGTTAGGATGTGGAATTTTTCCGCATCAACTTGAGCAGAGATTCTGAAATTAATTTCACATTTATTTGTATTTATGTATGCTTATTTTTATTTTTTTATATATTTTTAAACTCAACAGAGAACTCACCTGCACGTAATGCTTCCACGGGTACTGATGGGTATGGCATCGGGTATGGATAACCGTCACGACGTAGCGCTTTTGGTTTTCTGCGGGGACGATATTTGTAGTCAGGATGTTCCTTCATGTGCATTGCGCTGTTAATAATAAAGAATTTGGGAATTACAAGATTTGCAGTCATATTATTTTACATTAGCATGATTATATTTATTTTTATGTGTTATATACTTAAAGATATATATACTGGTGAATGAAGTATTAAAACTTTTACATTGTAAATAAAAGCAATGAAGTAGGTAGTTGCTCTTACCGAAGTCGTTTGGCCTCATCAATAAATGGACGTTTTTCTTCCTCTGTTAAAAGCTTCCATTCGGCTCCTGAAATTAAAAATGCAATCGATTATTTATTAATTAGTGACATTTAAGTATTTTTTTAAATCTAAAATATTGTTTAAAATTTATTTTTCCGAAACTAAGAGATGATTCTAGTTTCAAACGATTTTGGGTTAATATAGCTGATGCTAACTTGAAGATATTTCTCATATATATTTTTTGTACATTACTATAGGAAAAGTAATTACTTTTTGTACTCAGATAATTTGTTACTGTTACTAAAAATTAATATTAAAATTTTTGTGCAATTCCTTAAAGTATCTTTATGTATACAACATAAATGCATGAAAGTTGGTTAATAACTTTTACTAGTAGTTGGGTGCTTTCTTCTTGTAAAAAAAGATAAAGACAAAGAAATAGAAAAAAAAAATAAAATTAAAATTAAAAAGTTCAGCAAAAATGAAACAAGACACAATTTCTAAAGGAACAAAAAATAAGAACAGGATTCATTACGTACAACATAGTAAGATATAAATACAATAAATATTTGCCCCACCTATTCACCCACCACAAGACAAAGCCAACCCAGTAACAGTAAACAAAACGAGACAAAAAGCTATAAAGGATAGAATGCGTTGAACATAAAAATTGCTGAAATACAAGATACAAAATACAAAATACAAAATACAAGATACAAAAAGTTACACAATGACAATTCTCAAACTAAAGTTGTACATCAGCAGGCATTGAGGCATTGAGGTATTGAAGCATTGTAAGGAAAGAAGAGTACACAGTCTCAGTACACAGTACATAGTATACACAGTATATTGAGATGAATAGCGAACGAAAGAAAAATGAATCTCTACTCGCAGATACAAGTGAAAACAATGCACAAGGACATGCTGCAGGAAGTACCATACAATAATGGAATAATGGGTTTAAAAATAGGTGAGTGGGTGGTAGTGCGGAGATGCGCTGCGCGACAGTTGTTAACAAGTACTTGTGTGCTTTTGCCTACGCTTCTGAGTACTGGGTTCACATACGACTGACTCGTACTCGTAGTCCGATTATGTGCTTGCACACATTAAAGATATTAACTTCATTCTCAACAATTCATGTAGTACACGTTGAGGAAGCACTTAACAGGATACAAATAAGAAACAGATTTACGAATTTATATATAATAATACATAAAGTACATCGTTAGACTACGTAACTGGTGTGTGACTGTGTTTGTGGGCTTCTGAGTAAACTTCAAGTGAATGACAGGAATTTACGTAAAGTAGAAAATCACACAATAAAATGTTTCATTTGATGGGATTTGAAATACAATAACGACAAAAACAGTTTGAAACAAAATAGCACAGCATATGAAGGATTCAGGCAAGGATTCAATTTAAGTAAGAGTTGGTATGGATGCTGGTGCTTTTGTTGGATATGATGATGATGATGAGCTTGGCTAAATTTACGGAAACACAACATGACAGGTTGTATGTCACGTTGTAGTGCATTTTCAAATTTATGTTTGTAGAAGTTAATAACAAAAGCATATATACTTGGAATCCAAATTAAAATAATTTATATAATTATAAATTAGTTGTATTGTACAAATAAAATCGGTCATCGTCATAATTAATTCTGTTCTGTTAAGATTTACTTTGTTATAAACCCAGATATTACTCGTACATTGCAATTCTCTTAACTATAACAGGTACCTTAGAATTTATTTAATATAATAATAACTAATTGACATATTTAATAAGAATAGATTCAAATTGTTAAATTTAATATAATTGTAATTTTTAATTAAGAAATTTAGAATCCTTAAACATACGTCTTTAATGTAAACAATGTGGGATAATTTAATTATAATTTTAATTTGATTTGTTTCATTTTATCATTTTGAATTGATCTAAAATAATCAAACTTTTACTGCCTTTAAATAAAAATTAATTTAAACAGAAATTAATAATAGTTTGCAATAAGAGATAAACACATATATTAAACATATAAATATATATATAAAAAAATTAAGAATATTCATTTTCAAATTTATAATATTAAACCATTTATCAGTTTTCTCGTGAAAAACCACAAATATTAAAAAGAAATGTTTCATATATATTTCATATATAAGTAAAATTATTGATAATTTCTTAAACGTAAGTGATAATAATAATATAAATTAATATGACATAATTTTTATAAAGTTCAATTTATTAATATTTAACTAATCAATAAAGAAAACAATAATGCTTGATTTAAAACTAATTATTCAAAAATAAGAAAGTCTCACCTCACCTCACCTTATATAAAATATCCATAATAAATAGTTCTTGAAAACTTAATAATTTTTTTAGGTTAGAAACATCAGTTTATTAAGCTAGAAGCGTTTAAACAGTAATGTAGAAACAACAGCAAAAAATTTAATTCATTTATTGAAATTTTAACATAGGACACTGGGGAGCCTTGCGCCAGTCAAGAAGATTTGTTGATTCTGAACACATCAAAGCTGACGCTATCCTTTACCTTAGCAGAGACGATATTAGATTCTACACTACTTACAGTACATCTACTTACACTGTAGACTCAATTACCACATGAAGCATATAAGCATATGATAGAAAATGATTCCTGTCGAATCCATCACGAAGAGAAGGAAACATCAGAACATGTTCTATGCAACTGCCCAGCGACGGCAAGACGTAGACTTCACTACCTTGGAAACGAGAATTTGATCCAAATAGATAAAATTATTCACAATAATTACGAAATTTATAAATAGTCTAGAATTGTTTTAGTTTGACATTAAGGCGCACAATAGATCTTTTATGTCGCTTTATGTCGGATTATTTAATAATCGACTACTTTGGAAACGGGGCCTTGGTCCAAATAGGTAAAATAATTCACAAAATAATTACGAGATTTATAAAGAGTTTAGAATTATTTTAGTTAGGCATTAAGGCGCATAATAGATCGTTTAGGTCACGGTGCATTAATAATAATAAACATTTTAACATAATTAAAAAGTGGTTACCATATCTCTACAGTTGGCAGTTACACGGATATCTGCTTAATAAACAGATAATATTAATTCGTTAATCTTCGTTACAGAAAAAATTAACTTACAAGAATTTAAAAGTTCTATATAAATAATCTCTATTTTAACTAATTGTACTGATATTAATAATTTGGAAAGCTTAGAAGTTGGAATTTAATACTTATAAGATATATCAGATATACTTTATTTAGAGATTAATAAATATTAATAAATTGAAGTTGTTTTTCTGTATTTTAATAAAATTAAATGATAAATGATAATGCATATTTTAATGATGTTTTTCTAATTAATTTTAATTTAAGTAAAATGTTTAATTTTTTAATGATTATAAAATCGATTTCAAGTACAATATTCCTAATAAGTGCATTTCCATTTAAACTACTCATTATTATAATAAAAGTAATAATTATTTTGATCAATCTGAGTAATTAGCAATTATAAAAATAAGTGAATGATATGATATAAGTGATAAATATATGTCCGTCACAATTAATAAATTCTGTCAATTAGAAATAATGTGGCAAATGCATTTGTTCGACATGTAAATGTCACAATTATTTATCAGTCACAAATATAAACAATAAGAAATTTGATGAACCAGAAACAAAAGAGCAACTCTTCGACTACAGTGGATATGTATCTCAATGCACTATTAAAACAATCGACAATAATAATTTCACTCCCACATAATTTCCTTTGAGAAGAACACTTTCATTGCAAGATTAAGCGACGAGGTACGAGTGTGAGTCCAAAGGTACAAAATGCGCAGTTTGACGCGACACCTTGAAGAACAAATAATACGAACACTAATTGAGGACTCTTAAGCAGAGTAAAAGACGTTAAGGGGCTACAGGCACTTATCAAGTAAACTTAGACATTTCCAAAAGGACAAAGCCAGCCAGCCAGTATGTTTGCTTTTATTATAAGTTTATGTGGAATGCATAAGAACCTTAATAATTGATATGAAAGGCAAACAAACAATTGTGTCAGTTCCATGACGTGGCGACACTGGACAAGACATCCTAAATGTGAAAACAAATGCTACACATTTTTACAATGTTTGCGACAGGAAGAAGTAAGCAAACATGCTTTGTTCACTTGTTTGACAATTAACAAGAGTGGAACAGTTTTCAGGGGGGAAAAGTAGAGTTATGAAATCCATATGAGTCAATTTTAGTTAAAAAACTGTAGCTTTTTGTTTGCTCTGAGCTCATATTTGTGAAGTTAATTTTTTTTTCTCTGGTTAATCTACTAACGATAAGTGCAAATATAGCAAATCCACATCATGAACTGAAGTTTAAAGTACTCCAAAAATATTCCATTGTGTGATGACAATGTGGTCAGTCAGTCATTGTTAGTTCTGAAATAGAGATTTTGCTACTCAACTAGATTTTAAAGAGACCCAAAGTAGATGAAGTGGTTTTCACTGTTTTTGATTAGTTTAATTATTGCATTTCTATTAAAAATATTTATTTTGGGTTTTAATAATTTCGGATAAAAAGAAAAAAATTAATATTATAAAAAATATAACAAATAAGTATAATAAATAATATAATAAAAAATTTAATATTTTTTTCTTTATTTGAATGCGGAAAAAGCGAGTCCTTTTAGTCATATAAATATTAATATTGAAGGTGTGTATTGTTCTAAAAAATGTATTAAATTTTGAATTGGATTTCATTTTCATATTATTGAATTTTCAAATTAAGATAACATCATCATAACTTTTTTTAAAAATTTTAAATTTAAAGGTTGCATGAAGAAAATGTCTAAGTTAAGTTTCAATTAATTTGTTAAAAATATATTATTACAATTATATTGAAATCATTTAAAACTTCAATATTGACATATACACATTTTTGACTACTAATATTCTGAATACAAATTAGAGAGGCGAAATCATAAATAAATTAAAATTAAAAATTTGTGAAAACGAGAAATGTAAATATAATAATGAAGCACCTGTCAATTGCACAGCGGTGGC